CGTTTTCTCGCAATGCGACTTTTATCGTCCTCCTAATGAAACCAGATGCCGAACGCGATCACCAACGAAATGTGCGTTCTATCCACACCAGTTAAAAGATTTCAATCAAACCACCAGATCGACCGTAAATTCTTTAATCAGCTTCGATAAAATCAGAAGTCTGTTCGCTCGTTTCTACTATCGTGCGCCATCGCAACATTTGTGGCTTTTTAAAACGTTTACAAGCAGTACTTTTCACTGAGATTTAATATAGATAACGTATTTTTTATACTGAATACTTTTTTAACAAATATTTAAACATTAAAATATATCAATTCACTAAAAGTCATGAAATCATCGCCAAACTTGATCAAATCACTCAGAATATTAAGTACAACGTACACGAACAAATCATTTTAACGATCCGCGAACACCACTTGTTAACTGCTTATTTTAATAACTTTAATTTGGATGTACTTTTCATTAATTACAATCACAAATACTATTGTGATAATCCAAAATATATATTAAAAGTTTTAAAAGCAGTTCAACGTTTATTAAATCATTTAAGGCTAAATTGTCGTCCAATATAAAAAATATATTTATTTTTATTTTCGTTTCAAACAAAAAAAATATGTATTTTATTGCTCCAAGATGCAAAAATTGAAGAATTTGGTTATTTATTCAATTTTTTACAAATTTGCATTATTTAATTCGATCGTTACTCAAACATTATTTTACATTTTTTTACACGAATGTCACGCTGCTGAAAAAGCTGTCCTATTTATTTTCACCGAACCCTCAGCAAATTATACCGTTAGAAAGCGTCATGACGATATTCGTTGCAGCAGCCATCCGATACATTTCACTCAATTTCCTTCACTCCCGAAATACAATTACACAAAACACTATCGAATCACTTGATCACTCGCGCGATCAAGCAGGCGCTGCCAAAAAAACATTGTCAGCGCGAAAATTGCAACAGATGTCTACTGGTACTCGCCGATGCACAAACCCGCGCGAGAGTGAGAGAGCAGTGATCAAGGTGGTGGTTGGTCGCGTGGAGGCACGCGCTGAACTGAGGAGGGCTAAGTGTGGATGCTGCAACTACAACGTGTAGGCGTAAGTCGCCTTAGAGAATGCGGTGGACCGAGAGGGAGAGAGAGATGAGGAGGGCGCGCGAGCGTGTTTGTGACGGCGGTACACGCGCCATGTCCGCGTGTGCGCCGTGAGAGCGAGAGACGGAGGAGAGAGAAATCTTACCTGAGAATGACAGTGAGTGAGCGAAGGCGTACGCAAGTACAGGTACGCACGCGAAAAAGGTATGAGAGAAAAAGAAAGAAAGAGAGAGGAGGGAGAAATTCGCGACTAATTAGCAAGGTTATGACATCTGTAAAACACATCTTATGCGAACCGAAACATGTTTTGTGAAGATAAAACTTTTCAAGAGTTTAACTAAAACTATTTGGTTAAAATACAGTTGCGAGTTGAAGAGTAAAGCGCAAACGGATCATGACATTTCTATCATTGGTCGTTTGACTTTACGAAGTTTAGTTTGACCTTTAATTTCTAGCCTAACCGCTAAAACATTTAACGTCACATGGTAGCGTCTACCTTGGACGCCTGTAACATTTTCACACTATTCAATTTACGAAGGTGCGAACGCACCGGTCAACAACTCATCCGAGGAAGTGGCGAGCTTAAACGATCTAATCGATACCGGCTTAACGACCGACGATCTCAAGCAGTTTGTAATTGATGGCGATCGATAATGCCGAGCGCCAAAGTGACTTCACTTCCCGGAATATCACCCACGAAACGGTGAGTGTCCGGCTTAACAAACCTGTGAAAAAAGTTAATGGCTTCGACAACGACTTCGTAAAGGAAAAGATGTGTGCTCATTCTTTCTTATTTTATGATAATAGTTTCGACGCTACGCGGATTAAAAATGAGTAGAGCACGATGCACACGATGTCGTCAGTTATCGTACATCATAATTTCTGCGGATGTTTGCTCTCCGGTAACAATGTTATGCATCTCTGCAAGCTGGGCGTGAATTCAATGAGATTCATGTCTAGCAATACACCAAGCCAGACACGGTCTCGAGTTTCGAATGTTCGCAGAAACGATCTCCACGATAAGAGTCCTAGAGGCTTGCCTACGCCTTCTCGTTAAGAGAAACGGAAGTACAAACTGTTACAGAAGAAATCTGCCGTTTCAATTAACAAAATGTGATGCGCAAAATTGGGAAAAAAAAACAGGGAGAATATTTCGAATATTTTTTTTTAATTGATTTCTTTCGATTCACTGCTTATAAAATCTGAAATTGTCAACTTTTTTGCTATTGAAAATAGCCTGTGATAAAAGACAAAATACTTGTCTAAATAACATTACGTCATTCCATCACATTCTTAAAATTATGAATAAATTGTTCGAAAAATTTGATACATATTGAGTTTTGCAAGAAGTGGTTTAAGAAACAGATCTCTAAAAACTTTGTTTTACTAATATTATTATACATTTACAATGTATTTTATCTCTCTGTAACACTATATTAATATAATTTATTTTTCATTATAACAACGTAAAAATTTGGGCAAATAAGACCGTTAATGCTTATTGTAATTATTTATTACCTAGTTCTTGTAAACGTTTTGATCAACTTCAAGATCTTCATTTTTCATTATTTCTTTTAATACATCTTTTACTTTGCACTTGTAAATAAAAAGCTATATTTCAATTCTGTATACGACGTTATATAAAACAGCATGATTCTTAACCTACGATAACATTGAACGTGATCTTCATAAAATTCAGAATCGCAACGCCTACGTTTAGCACCAAATACGCGATGTGAATGCAAACCGCAATAATATCTCAATCCATAGAGCAATATATCAATCTTGCAAAGTTTCAAGATGCTGGTCTATGTACAACCATTACGTTTGTTAAATAATTATACCGCATCCCACACAGGCTTTCGTAGAACTGCTCATCTGAATCTAATGAGAATCCCGCAATAGAAATTACGCGGTAAAGTCAACAATTTATGACACTGTTGGGGGGTTGATTAGTATTGTATGATAATAGATGTTGGGTTTACATTGTTCACTAATCATCGTACAATCTCTATAAAAACATATGTCAAAAATAGACTTTCAAATATCATGTAAAATATTTTGCTCTTCTCTTTTATCAGATTAATTTTCATTTATCGTAAAGCTTTTTTTTTATTGTTCAAATAATATATTTCAAATATTATTTATTTTATTTCGACTATTTGAAATAATATACGCTATAAACTACATAATATTGATCTGAAAACTGAAAAAGATTAATATCTCTGCACTTTCTGAGGAAGTATAATATTAACCGAACGTCGCATACGAAATTATCACATCGTTGTCAAGACTCAACACGTTTAATAATGGGAATTCTGACCGTACGTTTTACCACGACGTATTGTCACCGATAGTCCGCATAATACACTCAGCCGACGATAATGAATGCGTCGTGGCCGGACTCGTGTCGCGACTAAACGAGATTTCTCTCGTCCGACTGGATGCTCTGAATCCGTCGTTGGCACGCGATCATTTTCGCGAAGAGGAAGACGCTTCCACGGGGCATTAAGTCCTCAGCAAGCGACCTGAACGAGTGAAGCGAATCGGTCGTTCCGATGTCCACGTTCTCGCTCGATGTATCGCCCGGAATAGCGTGTCCTTATGTCCTCACTACATTCACAGATCATATTCCTGAGAGCGTGATATTGGAACTACATATATCGCCAATGGCCCCTATCTTGTACGTGGATTGTCCATTTCTCGATACGTATAAGACGTCGCCAAGTATTGCAATATCGAAATGATATCAAAGTATGCAATGGTGACGTATACAAATATGTGTGTAGAAATTTCTTACATATCTCGTAAACATAGTGCAAATATTTTTATTAGAAGATTTTTCTACGAGGGACGCGGATACATTCACAAACGTGACAATCAAAGAAAGAAAAAAACAAGAAAGGGATGTTGCACTACTTTATGTAGCATTGGTATATAATTTCATTGCTATCATTAATCATAATTAATTATCAAATAAATATTCTCATGTTAAAAGGACTTGGTTAGATGGCGTGTTAGAGTGTGCATTATAGGAGAGAGTGTGTGAAAATAAATTAGCTTAGAGAGATACGTGTACGTCTACTAGAGGTACGTGTTAAGAATAGCTAAAAGTTAAAGAGTAGAAAGAGGAAAAGAAGGGCAATTGAAGGTGAGACTAGAGAAAGAGAGATTGGAAAGATATAGGAAAAAGAAGTAAGAGTGACAGAAGTAGGGTTATGGCGACACGAGGATCGGGCGGGACGAGCAGAGATAGTAGGACAATGAGGAGTAAAAATGAAATAGACGAAAAGCAAAAAAACTAGATTGGAAAGAGGAAGAGAATAATAATAGGATAAGTGAAAAGGAAAAGAAAAGGGTGACATTTGAAGAGTGCGTATGCGAAATGGAGGTTAAGCGGGATAAAGCCAAGATATTCTGATATTAAAAATTCATAAAATCATAATAATATTATATCACAATGTATGATAATTTACTATAATACTTTGCTGATTACATTTCGTATGCAAAGCAACCAATTATTTTTCCTGCCAAAAGAATTCTATTTAAATATTTTCATCGTATAAGCACTTTGGTATAACGTATAGCGACATTTTCCACGTTCAAAACTGATTGATGTTGTCCGAATGGCGCAATTACCAAGAAGATTGCGCATTCATTCACGATGATATGGCACCAATGACTGGAGCGTCATTAAACAAATCGCCTTCGTCCAGTGTTTGCATACGCAACTAGACAAATCGCCGGTCGAAGGCAGTGAAACATGGCGATGGAAAGACGAGATGAGAGAGCTACCGCGTCACGTAACCCTTGCCGCCCTCTGCCTCCTGTTCCAATAACGAATAAACCGATTTGCTCGTTAACAATACATGCACGATCACTTTGCATACCATTTTGTTTCAGATGACCTCGTCACGGTGAACTCGTACTCGAATAAAAAGAGAAACAGGTTTTGTGTCGTTGAGCTCCGCGATCTCTCGTACAAGAGAATCCTCCCCCTCGCGTCTCTCTATCTTCATCGAGCATAAAGACGATCGTCCTGACTGACGCTCGCAAAATTGGTAACTTAATGATTTGGCTTCTTCTATAGTAGTATCTTGTTTCAATGATATCATTTTTATAACGCGTGCCAAAATATTATTGCGATCGACACACACATTCCACACTTCTAAAATATAAACTCTTTACAAGAATTATATATCTATTAATAATTAGTAAACAAAAATAGATAAAAACTTTTTGAGCAAAAATTCAAAAATATTACAAAATTTGGCAAAAAAATTAAATCACGCCTACGATTTCTTAATTCACGATCACTTGATAATTTACAAATATAGAGTCGCCGAAAATCTTACAGAATATGCAGAGTTTACACGGGAAACGGACTTGTTGACGGCTCGATGAAGTTGAGTTATAGCGACTGTCGCCTCCGGGTCTCGCGGAATTCCGCGCACCTTCCTTCGCCGTTGTTTCATGAGATGTTACAAATGCTCGCGTGCACGTACACCATAATGTCAGCGTCGTTAACTCTTTATATGTTTGTCAAGAGCATTTGAGTAATGTCATTGTCGACCGATAGCAGACCGCCGCCGCCATTCTCTCGAGGTGCACCACATTGGTCGAATTAGTCGCATTCTCAGAGAAATAAAAAGAATACGATTTGTGTAAAACATTAGATATATACAAAAAAGCAGTTACATACAATTTTTATTTTAAAAAAACATTGAAGCAAAACAACAAAAGAGTAAAATTATTTTTTATGAAAAAAAACTGCTATATGTATATACAAATCTTTTTCCTATAAAAAATATGATATCAGAAAATGCCGCCAAGTGGAAATAAAATTTAACATCAAAAGTATGCATTCGATAAGGCACAATATGGTTGTTGATTTTATTATTTATTTATTGATCACGCGTGTTTTGCAATCACAATTCTTCTGTATCCTCGTACAGATATGAACATCTCTGCAATTATTTTCCAGATGCATAGTTTCCCGGCAGACCAACGATGCTTATGACAAAAATAATCCTGGCTACGCTCTCTGTGGCACCGTGTTTCACCTGGAAAGTATAGATTGATACTAAAGTCGAGCATTTCCAGACGTGGTGCGTAGTGAACTGACAAATTTTTTTCATCGACAGAATATAATACAGACTTGTTAAAGTTTATCGACTGAGGAGCCTGATATCCCGGCTTCATTTCCAGTTCAAACGTGATACGCCTGAATATGGTACACTGCATGGTAGTAAACTCGGCGATCATGCGTTTTTCAGAACAGAGTGAAGAATCATCGCACAAAACCACGTCGTAATATAGTCGTAATATGCAATTCACCGTTTTGTAAATCCGATGTCTGCAAAAACGTCGTTTGACTACTACGCCTTTGGATTTCTTTAAGCAACTGTTTTTACAGGAATCTTCTATCTATTCATTCCAGTTATCCTTTTCACAACACTTAAAATTGTGTGGCTTAAAATTGTAATACGATGACGGGCACGCATTTTCCACCGCGACGTTCTTTCCCAAGTACACAATAAGCTTTCGAAAAAAAATTGGTTGGGCAAAAAAGACGCGAAAGTACACGCAATTGTTGTATACATGTACATAAAAATCTATGGAAAAAGCTGTCGTATATTAACTGCACAGTTAAATTGAAAGAAAAAACGTAATCAAAAGAAATCAATCTTAATTATCAACTTTTAGAAATCTAATTGTTGTCAATTAAACTCACGCGTTTCCGAATAATGTTGCATATTATACATATTAGCCACAAATTTCATTTTCTAAACCCACACCGTTATCATACGTACCATTCTCTCTTCTCTTCTCAAATTTAAGTTTTAGAAATAAAAATATTTATATACATGTAGCAAAGAGAGAAAATATTGACATTAGATATTACACGACACAACGAATATTCGTTAACATAGATGTGATTTATACGCAGTCTTATAACGAACATGAGAGTATTCGAACGTGTGTATATAAATTATTTAATAGATAATTTAAAATTAAATAACGCGAAAAGCAACATGATTTTTATATTAAACTTTGTGTTAATAATCTTACTAAATGAAACGTATGCATATGTCACGCAAGATATCGAAATAATATTGCTACCGTCATGGAACTCGACAGGCGTAAAGGAGGTACGTGCGTTCTATTGTACTACTTTATTCATTGCTCAATGTCCAGAATATTATGCGAGACTTATCACATCTTTTCTTAATTGTCATCCAATTTACAGATACCATTAACTCTGAAAGTTTTCGGACAATTGATTCAACTAAACCTGCGTAGAAATGATCGGATTGTGTCGCCAGTGTTTCAAGTATGGAAATATAATTCGAAAAACGTCACAGAAATGTTGTCGCAAATAAATGCATTGGATACTTGCTTTTATTTTCACGAGGATCATGTCAACTCTGCAGCAATCAACTTTTGTCAAGAATATGGATTGGTCAGTAATATCATATAAAAAAATTCATTGCTTTAAAAATTTTTAGCTTTTACTTGTAATCTTTATTTGTCTTTGTTTTATACGTATACAAAGCATGAGACGCAAAAAAATGTACATTTTTTATAAGTAGGAAGGACTTGTTTTTCTGGAAAACGACACATTGGAGATTAGACCTTTGCGGAACGACTTTCCGCCTTTAATCGACGGTTTTTGCGATAAAGAACAAATTAATTTTTCATTCGGCTTACTTCACCGTATTAAAAGATCACAGCAATATTTTGCTGATTCAGATCTTAATCATTTGCACAATATCAAACCGAAACGACGTAATGTACAAAATATGCAACAAAAATTAACCATAGAACTGGCAATTTTCTTCGACGAAGCTGCATATCGCATCTATATGCCTTTACTGGATAATGATGAAAAAAGATTGCACGATATGATATTAGCATACGTGAATCAAATCCAAGCTGTGTTACATCATCCAAGTTTTGGTACTCCTATTGATATTTCATTGATACGATTGGACATGATGAAAAAACAACCGCCAAATTTGCCAGTTTTTAATGGCGAGGCAGGCAAACTGTACGATTCATTCTGCAAATATGCGAGAGCTCTCAATCCTCCAGATGATAATGATCCACATCACTGGGACATTGGCATTTATCTAACCGGAATTAATATTTTTACATCAAACGACCAAGAAAAGTACTATCACATATTGGGAAGGTCTTTTGTCGATGGCGCATGCAATTCGTCTTTCTCGTACGCTATAATAGAATTCGGTATTCAAAATCAAATGTTTTCCTCGGGGTTTTCATCGTCTCTCATTGCAGCTCATGAGATCGGCCATCTGTAAGTTTACATACGTGTACTAGTCATATATTGAATGTCAATAATATTTTTGAAGTATTTATTTCATTGTAGAATTTAAAGTCAAAAAATTATTTTTTTGAAGATTAATCCTTTAATTATTTACTATAATTAATCCGTTGGTAAATTACAAAAAATATAAAAATATTTTAAATAAACAAGGCAAAGTAAAGTAAAGCATATACAATATTCAAATCAATAATTTATTCGTTCAAAAGTTTAGGAATGGAACACGAGTCGAAATGTGAAGAATACAAATATGTAATGTCACCAAAACGAAGCTATCGCGGCCAGGTAACGTGGTCCGAGTGCAATCGTAACATAACGAAGGAACTCTGGAAAACCAAATCGTGCCTACGAGATCGCATGAGACCGAAATATCTCGATGACGTATATGCTTTGGATCATTCGCGTTATCATGATCTACCCGGAAGAAAATGGACTGCCAAGGCACAATGCGAATTATTTTTCCATGATAAGGATGCGAGCGTAGTCACGTTGTTTGATATATGTCAAATTTTACAATGCGATTCCCCTCGCAAGAATACGTATTTCTCAGGACCCGCACTGGATGGTACGTTTTTTATTCTGATTAGATGTTGTAACTTCAAATTTATCGATTTTTTTTTCAGGAACTTATTGCGCAGTCGGCAAGGAGTGTCGCGGCGGAGAATGCGTACCCATCATCGTACCGCCATACAATTTTAAGTTTTGTAGAAAGGATAACTGGAGTAAATGGAAGAAAGATTCCTGTAATAGCTATTGCTTGGAGAAATCCAAAGGCGCAGTAGTCAAACGACGTTTTTGCAAACATCGGACTTATAGAACGGCGAATTGCAAAGGACCATATTATGACGTGGTTTTGTGCGATGATTCTTCACTCTGCACTGAAAAACGCAAGACGATCGCAGAGTTTACTACTACGAAATGCACCACATTCAGCAATATTATGCTTGAACTGAAAAAAGAGCCAGGATGGCAGGCTGCTCATGAAGTCGATAAACCCTGGATAGCCTGTACTATATATTGTGTACGAAAAAACTTTTCTACTTATTACGCACCACGCCTGGAAATGCTCGACTTTGGTATCAACCCATACTTTCCAGATGGAACATGGTGCCACAGAGAACATAGCCAGGATTATTTTTGTCGTAAGCATCGTTGTCTGCCGGCAAACCATTCGATTGAGGAATAATTGTCGAGAAATTCTCGACTTTTGTTTAATATCTAACTTAGGGTTGACTCATTGTTGTTACCTTCTATTTTACGCAGTAAATCAATATTTTTGTCAAAATTGTGAGATGGCTCGAGGGATATTTGTTAAATAACGAGACTTCTAAATGAAAAAGAGATTGACTCTATTCGTATGGAAATAATCTCATTATTTTCACAACACACTTCTAAGGCGTAGTCTATATAACAATCTAACAGTATGGCTTGCCGTTAATCGGCATGTATACACGATAAATCGCGTGCGAGTTAAACGAAGTGTGGCGGACACCGAGCATTTCTAACCGACGCGGCGACATCGGCGACGTGTCGTCGCGGATGCCGCCAGGTACTTACTACCACGTTGCGCTAAGTTCAACGCGGATCCATACAAAGAACGCGCGCGTGCAAGCAGGTAGAAGCCAGAAGCCGCGAGCCGCGTAGCGCAGCATGACGTTCTCGAAGATGTAGGAAGGAAAACGGAGGGCCGCCGCCCGGACGGACGCGAACATAAAATGCACACACAACGAGACGTGTGTGTGCGTGTACTTAGCATAAGTCTCGCACCCGAGGCACTCTCTCATCGTATTTCATGCCGGCTATACTTATACGCTCGCATCGCTCGCCGCGCATAACCGCTTGCTCCTTCTTCTTTATCTTCCTTTCTCTTCGTCATCATCATCATCGTCGCCGTTGTCGTCGTCATCGTCGTCGTCATCATCATCATCATCATCTTCGTCTACCACAATCCATGTCTCGGGTGCGAGGAGAGGAAGTGAGGAAATACAATCGGTGCAATATTAGAATGATAAGAAAGCGCAGTATCGTGATCCATATCGCAGCGGTATTAGAATTCTAATCGAATTTAAATAGAGTTTGAATGGATCATTCTCTACTAATTCCCTACTTCTTAGAAATTAAATTGTGTATAATGTGTAAAATTTCTTCAAATTGCAATACTTATATAAAATCCACACTCCTGCATTTTCTTCTCTTGTATTTACTTCATCATTACCGATAAATGCAGAAACACATTTACAAACGCCGCGAATTATATCCGATTATTTTATATTCTATCAATAGTGTAACGTGATCAGCAGAAACGATCGTTACAATTGATCGGTAATTGAGTTGGAAAGGATTTAACAAGCCGGTTACGATTGCCAGGCGTTCGCAAATTAATTAATACGATAGATATTACAGAAATAATATTCTCTCGCGATATTACGGCGCTAACAGAGTTTACACAAATGAGCCGCTTAGAAACCAAAGTAACTAACTCTATTTTTTGCAATTTTTTTAATTTTAGTACCAAAATATTTATTTATTAGTGCTTAACTTCTCATAAATAAAATTAATTACCTTGATAATTCTATTTATCACTTCAAGATGGCTAAATTTTTTATCACTAATGAATAATACATAACCTACTATAGAAGCCATTGTGATTAATTCCATTGATAGTAATTTTTTTATTCTTAATTAATTTGATAATTCTTAAAATGGCAAAGAATAATAATTTTGACATACAAAATGACAAATCAGATAGTGATTCTTTAATAATAATTGTCAGAAGTGCCAGTTCAAGGAAACATTTTCGTATTTCTTCGTCATTTGACTCAAACAATCCCTAGTAAAAATAATGTGTCGAAATTTATTATATCTTAAAATTGTTTTATTTATATCTTACCATTTGTGTCAACTTTTAATCATTTTTGATATATTTATTTTTAGGAATGAAAATATTATAACAAATAGAAATATTAGTTCTGAAAAATATATAGATCAACCTTTGTTATATTCTAATAGTAGAACTGTGACAAAAAAAAGAGAAAAGACATGATGGACTTATTGAAATACATTTTTCCCATTAAACATGATTATTATAAAAATTTAAGAACAAATAAAAGTGACGGTACTTTCGATCGGACGGAGAAGAGAAGTTATTTATGTTAATAATGATAATATTAACAACAACAATAATAGAACCTAATGACAATGGTAATAAGAATAGAACGACTATATTGATATTTTATTTAAAGTTCTGTAATAAATAACGTTATAATTGGTTTTCTTATAATAAATAATGATTTTTAATGGTTAAATTTAATGATATTTATTTTTTCTGTAATTTCCAGATTTTTAGTTTGCCAAGTCGATTAACTTTCCAAATTCATGCAAAATTTATAAATACATGAACAATTATTCTCGATATATTTTTATATATTTTCTATGTTATAACATAAAAGTTATAAAAGTTGCATGTTTAATAATACATTCTACAATATTTGTTTGTGTATATATTTTAAACGAAATTTTATAAAACGATATTTATAAGTTTATCAATTTTCTCTACTTTTTGTTCGATGGAGTTAATCAGTTTGGCTTTTGAGCGTGTATGTACATAACGCAACTACTTGCGATATTGTGATTACGTGAGCCTCGCGATTACCTCGGAATTCACCTAAACATTCGATAGACTTCAGCCGAAACAATCGTTTTTTTTTTCACGATATAAACTTAGCGATAACGAAATAGCATGATGCACTGTGTAATCATAGTGTAACCGACATATGATACTTTGTCGCGAAATATATTCAAATATTTGACTTTTTGAGCGCAACTTAAGAAAATTCAGTATGATTCGGCGTTTTAAATATAAAAAGCAATTGGACGCTCAGTGGATTAAAGCTTCGTGTAAAAGTCATTATTTACAGCAAGAGGCCGGCATGTTGCGCCGCTTAACGGGCTCTTTCAAAAATTTATGCGTGCCTTAAAACTTTCTTAACCAGGATTAATGCGGAAGAAAAAAGGAGGACTCGCGTCGCTCGATAGGCCGCAGGTACTTATGCAAGCCTATCGCCGGAAATGACTTATAGCGTAATGCATCGCGTCGATTCAAGTCCCATACATTGTAATAATCTAAATTAAGTTCGCGAACTCTCTTACAGCGTATCCCGTTCCCGCGGGTCCTTCCTGCACGTTCACCGTTATCGAGGGGATAATAATGCTCCTCTGCGGCGCAAAAGACGAGAGAGACATGAAAAGACTTGAAGGGACACACGTGTGCCCTCTCGACGTCTTCCTCGAACAGGCGCTTCGTGTGTGCGATTCTTGAGACAACCATTTCACAGAAGATGTGACGCAAACGCCGTACAATCTGCAAAGATTTCGGAAAATACATCTTGACTCTGACGCACTCTTTGCCACGGGTTGGGTCGCAAAAATACGAAGATAAGGCGATTGATAAGTATTATCTTACGTGCGATGTATATTTTGCTTATTACAAAGCGCCGCCGCTCGACTCGATTTTAACAGAAAAAATGATGTAGCTTGCATGCAAAACTAAATCTAATGTGCACATATTAAAATATAGAATAGTGCCAAAAGTCGTTGACGTGTGAATAAATTACAGTAAAAAATAAAATTTATTTATTTCTTTTTTTTTTCAAAAATCAAACAACAAAACAAATAAAATATATTATCTATCTTGTCACAAATACATGAAAACTGTTTTTTGAAATGACGCTTAATTCGCTCTAATATACATTTGCATATGATTACTACATTATTGGGCATAAATTTATACATTTATGAATTTATAGAGCCGTCAATCGCTACGTTTAGATCCCTAAATTCATAAACCTATAGATTGATGACTCCATAAATATCTGTAAATATCCAACAGATTGCAAAATCCATCAGCATATTCATATAAATTCCTAGATCAGTACATTGTTAAATCTTTAATTGTGCGAATTCACGAGTTTGCTAAAAAAAAGGACAAAATTCAACATTTCTTTCTGTTTGAATCAATAATTTATCAATATTAAAGTCACTTATTAGTATAAATTGCAATAAATCATACGCATAAAATGCTTGAGGCGCGCAGGAAATATCGCAAGCGAATCATGCAACAGTAAGACAAATCGATACAATAGTATTCGCTACGCCATCATGTTGCCCATCCTTCGAAGCGCATGAATCATTTATCAGCTTTAATCTCTGATCCGAACCAAAATTGTCCGCTTGACGATTCAATCTACATCCATTTAGCCGCTAACCGTCTGTGGCACTCTTATCGGGCCACGCAGGATAGGAGCGTGTTTTATCGCAGCTGGAGTCTCGCTTTACGAGTCGTGACAATCGTAAATACGGCCAAGAAACATGCGCTCGATCGGCAGAGAATTGTATCGTGAGAACCATTCAATCGGTATGTCCAATTCACAAAACAAGGATCCGGCGCGATAAAAGTTATTTTATTTCATTAAGAAGATGATTTTATTTCGACGAGGATGCTTCATGCTGATTGAACTGTTAATAATGATAAATTTGAATCTTTAAAAAAAAAAAATACCTAAATGGCAATATTATGATAAATATATCAAGTTTATTCTATGTCTGCGGATTCAGGCGGTCAATTACGGGACAACTTTCTATCTTCTGATTGCGACTGAGTTCCTGGATTGAAACCAGCTCTCTGATTAGCTAAAGAGACCGCCATTAATTTGAACAAGCTACACCTGCTACAACCGTCATTCTTACGTTATGATCGCCATATTTTGCCCCAATCGATTCCTCAAGAGTGCAATCTGTGATACACCGTGGCGGAAGACGACGATTTCGCATTCGCGATCAGCGCCGGCACCGATTACAGATCTCGGCGTCCGCCTTGGCATACGAGATTCGTTCCTTTGCGGCGCGGTGCGGTAATCTTAAACCGAGAAAACAAGCGTTCTCGGGCACGAACTGCCGAGCGCTGTCGACCGACGGAAATGAAATACGGGTGAGAGACGAAGGCACGAACTTAATTTAGGTTGTTACGGCCAGGCCCGCCGTATATACTCCGTGTGCGCCAAAAGAGCGCTGGCTGGTCTCACGGACGATAAGTCATTCCGACGATAAGCCGTCCGTACGTGGGACACGAAATGGCGAAGACGCAGTTGTCCGCGGACAAGTCCGAATTAAGGCTCCATAAAGAAAAATACGCGAGCGCGCGACGCGCCACCGTTACCGCCAGAAGGGAAAAGATCTCGACAGCAATTTTATTCTTACACAGCGGACTACTGTGTTATAAAGCATTTTGTCTTGAAGACATCATTGCCGCAAAGTGGCTGAGAAATTGCGAGCGATTATATTCGGATAATCTCAAGCGACGCGCGCATGACATACCGATTTGACGAAGTGACTTACGAGATCGTTAAAATATTGTCCGCAATTTAAATTTTCTTAATACCGGAAGAGGACAATTTTGCCATTGCTCGACGAGAATTGAAAGAAAGGCTCGGAGTTATTTCAAATTTTATTTGCGAAGAGATTTACCGCTTTGCTATGTCTTGTGGAATAGGAATTAATCAGGTTCCAGATGACTGTACTTTCTCGCATACCGAGTTATAAATATCGCCGTCAACTCTGTTACACGTTCACCGTATTTCTCTCCTGCGTGCTTCAATCTTGACGGAAATAATGAAACTTTGGCGAGATACTTTATAAGGAACTGGCGGGCCGGTCGGAAGGTGTGGTTCTTGACAGACAGCCAAACGTCTCGGTCTTATATTTGAGCCGGCGAACAGAACCCAGATTCTTCACATCCTGCGAGCCACTTTAGTCAACGAAAGAACGTGCTGCCGCGGGAAGATTCTTATCTAGTGTTTGTCGGGACGCGGCACTCGTTAACCCTCTGATGCACTTTCGGCTCAATGTGTGCACAAGGTGCCTATAATTTTCTTATCACACGTATTAATTTGAAGATATTGACATATCGAGATCCTTATTTTACTCTTGATTGCTTTGGATGAGCGACAATTTACTTATCGATGCGCACTTTATCATGTAGGATGTTTAGATAAGCTAAGAAGCTTATAAGCTCAATAGTCTGCTGAAGAGAACAGAGACATATCTCATAATTTTGTCAATTGTTTCCGTTCAAATGTAGTTAATAATCAAATTTTTACTTGTATAATGTTAATACTAATCTCCATGAT